GCTTGGAGTCCACTTGTTATCGCAGAGGGACGTGTCCTTTGAATCAATACAAAGTCGTTCATAATGATCAATATTTTTCTTGGATGCAACATTTTTATCCTGATGGGAATGGTGTCCTCCAGCACGACGATCCCCACGTCCATAAATCACATGTAGACCGTGAATGACATACTCATGAATCAATCATGTTCCTTACACACTTGTAGCCTAAAATGAACCAAAACCTTTTGGTTTTTATAACTTACAGCGATGGCAAATTCATCACGAGAAATTGATCTTCATAAAGGAATGGACCAGATACTAACACTAATTCACAGAAGGTCCCAGTTCTAATACCTGATCTAACAACAACATTTACACTTATATACTAACTTATATACTTATGTATTATACTATGTACTAAAAATAGGAAAGGTTTCTTGTTACTAATGTCCAATAATGTGATGTTGGTCAATCCTTCCTCATACATTGCAAGCAAAAGAAAATGTGCTATGCACTAAAAACAAATATGTTGCAAGATTTTTCACGGTTCAATGTGTCTTTGCACAAAGGCTACAATAAATACAAAACAAAAAAATAAAAAATGTTGTAACATGTTTTATTTAAATCTGAAATATAACATATCTCTGTTGCCACTACAATAATATGCCAGGTAGATTATTGCTGCTGTAACAATGTCATCTGTAGCATTTTGTTTTGTTTTGATTTTTACACATGAATATATGACTGAAATAAACAGTAAAGAATGAATCTCTGGTAAAATTGTAGCAGGCTTCTTTCAGTCACTGACCAGCAGCATGAGGCAACATTAGGTGATGAAGTAGTTTAATTTGATTATCTTTCATCTAAATGACACCTTATTCAGCATTTTTTATATCTGATAATATCATTTTTGCTTCTGCCATAGCCAGACATTTTCATGTGACTCTCTGTATTATAAATGTTTATTAAAGGCGCCACAGACTTCCATTTTTTTTTTTTTTTTTTTTGCTTACGAAAGAGTCACATTTTTATTATTTATGACAACTGATTTGCTGGAGGAAAACATGAGACTTCTTTTGCTGGCCAAAGTAGAGGATTAATATTGGGAAAGAATTTGTTTTTAATAGACCCTTCTGGATTTAATTTATGGTTGCATCAGTAAAAACAAAATAAAAAAGTTTCAGCGAAAGTTATGGACATGTTTGTTCAAGAAAGAAATATTACATGCCAAGATTGAGTCAGCGCAACACAAAAACAGATAATAAATTGATGTTTCTACAGCTTCAAGATTTAGTATCAAGATTTCAGCACATCAGAATCCAAGAGCTTTGCCTTGACTCGGTTTTGGATCAATAAAGGTTCATTGCAGAAGAGGATTAGATGCATATCTCCCTACTGACTATGAGAAACTATATCAGAAGCAGCAACATGGTGGGCAAAATGAATTAAATACATAAAGAGTTCAGACTGTAGAACATTTTAAAAGCAATTTAAATAATAGGCAAACAGATGTGATGTTCTTGCTGTTTTCAGGCTATTTGTCCACTATTAAATGATAATCAAGAAAAACTGCAATTCAGAAATTGCTGATGAACATCTTTGTCATCAACAAATTTGCATCTCTTTACATCAGTACATTAATTCTTACTAAAAACGGATGTAGATTCAAAAGTAAAACATATAGACAAGCACAATTAGGCATGCACTTATTGATTTTTTAAATTTATTTACTTATAATATACTATTTAAAGGTAGTGAAATGTGCTGAAATGTGTACAAACTTTTTATTTTACAAATTTACTGATCTAATTTCCATTATGTAGAAAATGGCTTTCAGGAAAAATAAAGAACCTACCTAAAACATTGTTCTTTTCTCAGTAAGTTGGGCCTGTCTTCATTAAATTTTAATTTTTTGCCAGTCCTTCAGATTCATTGAAATGTTATAACTTCCTCCGTTCTCTACTGTGTATATTGGAGTTCATGATTGTGGTTGTCAAATCATAAATAAAGAAATAGATGGAAGAAAAAGAAAGAGAGCCTTGCTTCTTATTCTCCTGCATGCAGCAGTGAGCTGCCGTGTGTCATTATTTTCTCCTTCCATATGAATACATGTGAATTTTTCTTGGAGATTATTTATCCTCCTTTTTTTCCCCCTTGTTTTCTGTCATTCCATTAGCTCCTCTGCCAGTTTATTCTATTTTCACATCAAAGGTTCGCTCGAACAGATGTTGTTTCAAACGCCTGTCTTCTGCCTCATTGCCTAAAAGTGAGGGGTGATTATTTTTTAATGAAACCGCATATCCTCGCACGCATAAAAAATATGAATATTACCTGTAATCTGCAAAATAGACAAGCAAAGCTTTGGAGGAAACATTCATTAAATTCAGGAACACCTCAAAAACCATTTTGAAGTTTTTTCTTTCTTATTTCTTTTTTTTTTTTTCTGTAGCTGGCAAATGTTCTCCCAAACCTTGAATTCTGATTAGTTAATTTCATGCAGCTTTTGTTTGGCAAATGCTTTCCTAAAACAATGTCGTTCTCAGAGGCAATCTTTTTTTTCAGATGACAGTTAATAGGGGAAAACAAGGTTGTTACTTAATCTTGCGATGGAAATGAATGTTTCTAAATGTCCTCTCGCTGCATTTTGGTACATATGTGGGTGAATATTTTTTCTACGATGTGGCAAGACGCATTCTTCTTTGTTTGAAATTTTTTGAATCCTGGATCAGAGGAGCAGGAGAGGAAATATCCTTCTGTCACCATTTCTTCTCATTATCACTCACAGAGATTGCTTGAGGTAATGGGGGTCTCTTTAGTGCCATTGTAACATTTTATCAATTAACGTTCTTCAAAACAACAAATCCACTCATGTATTTCTTACTTCAGACTAAGACAAGCTAATACAAGCTGTGAAGCTTAATTAGGCAGGTCCCCGTTGAAAGAAGCTCAAAAGGCTCCTGAAGCCAGAGCAGCTTCTAAGTTTAAATTAAAATATGGCTGCAGTGTATTACAGAATATAATTCTGGTGTCAATTATTGGCAGATCACCCCGGTTCCAAATTATATAGAAAATGCTTCAAACATAAAGCACTGACTTACATACATTTAGCAATATTGCAGCATTTTAGTACCTGATCTATATTCTCCGTAGTTTTAGATCATTTGTCAAATGCATGTTTTTTAGTGACAGAAAAAAAATAGGTTAATTCACATTGTTCTCATAATAATAACAAGATTTTCCCTTCATCTCGCTGTTTTTCTCCTTCTCTTTCGCATTCCATCCTTCACTTCACATGGTTTCTCCAGAGCACACAAAGCAATTTCCATACAGAATCACACGCAGAATCAGGTGACCTGGATTTGACTCCCAGTCAAAACTCTACCTGGAAATGAAAATGTATTCATGTGTATTGGATGAAGCAGCACATTACTCTGATGGAAGTAGCTCTGCTGTATGAAAATGTGGGGACATTTCAGCATACTGTGTTATTACTGATATCGCGTGCACAAAGACAAGCATAAATGTAATCACTCTCTTTGTGTTTTGCCGTTGTGTGTTTTCGTATTTATAATTGTTCACGTGATGTACAGCCTTTGCTCTATCAGCTTATCTCGCATCTTTATTTGTCAAACATTTCAGGTTAAATGTGTGCAAGTTTGTGAGTTTTTATTTTTTCAGCTTGAGGCAGTCCATTGCTCTCTCTTTTTCTAAGCCATTACCAAATGAATACAAACAACACAAAGACAAGCAAAAGAACAAAAAAGCTTTCAGAGCCTTACAATACCACAAGAAGAACACAAACAAAAACTGCAAAATTTAATTGGAAAAAATTATCTCAAGTCCATGTGCACAACAAAACAGCTAAGCAATGCAAGTGGATTACACTCTGTCAATCAGGCAGAAAGAAATAGTGTCCACCATGTTCAAGAGTTCTGTCAGACTTGTGTTTTTATGGCTATTTAAGCCCAGACAAGATTTAAGTAGCTATGGGAAAATGTACCAAAATTCGGTGCACTTTGGGCAACATCCAAATTTTACCTAAGCAAAGATGCTGAAAGTCAGAAATTGCTTTTTCCATTCAATCAACTCTAACCACTTTTTAACCGCATCAAAACACCAATTAAAGGAATTATGTAGAAATATGTTTGCTTTTCAAGCACATCCACAAGTTGCTTCGATGGAAGGCAATATGAACTTTTCTATGTGAACTCAACAAAATCTTGCTCTGGAGGCAAGGGAGATACAATCCAGAGGAAAAACAACATGGTCACATGAGCAGTGTGACACAGTCTGACTCAGAATTCAAAGCAATCCACTCACCAAAATGGAAAGGCAAAAATAAATAAGGAAAATATAACCTTATGAAGTCTTCTACTCAGAACACCACAAAAAAAAGAGACGGGCGTGCAGGGTGGCCCGTGCAAGAGTCACAATCTGCTTCGTTTATTGTTGAGCAGCTTAAAAATAAAATAATTCACAACATGTAATTATTTATTTATTTTTCTATGACCCATGACTTTCAAATTCAACATTTTGGGCAAAGTGGCAACAAAATGTTTGGAGAAAGGAGACGATATTTGTTAGTGACAGCTTAAAATTTGGTGTGGAATTTTGGTTGTATTTTCTTAAAATAAGTTTTTGTTCCAGTCTGCTGTATTGCTGAGGGAAAAGCCAGAGTGCACAGCAGTCCTAAAAATAACAAGATAAATGTCTGGGGATCTGTGTCATTAATATGCGGCGACGAAAGAACTGATTTACAAAAGTTAGGTGGAAATCAGATAAAGTGCTACGACTGGCATTATGGTTCTGGCTAGGACTGGGTTGTGTTGAAGTTATGTTCAGAATAGGCATTGTTCATAATGGCACTGGTCTGAATGTTTACAAATATTCATTGATAACCTTATTGATTATATGTGAATGTAATTTATGTGTGAGTTTTTCCAAAGTTAAAAATCTAGATCAGTTTGCGTCATCAGAAGATCATAACCAATTGTCTCTTTGTTCCTCTCCCCCTCCAGATAAGCAACGAGAAGCGGAGCGCGGCAGAAATGATGAAGCCCAAGCCCAAACCTCAGAAGAAGAAAAAGAAGAAGGACCCCAATGAGCCCCAGAAGCCTGTGTCAGCGTACGCGCTGTTCTTCAGAGACACCCAAGCTGCCATCAAAGGCCAAAACCCCAATGCCACTTTTGGAGACGTCTCCAAGATTGTGGCCTCCATGTGGGACAGCCTCGGGGAGGAACAGAAGCAGGTACAAAATTTACGCCTGTGGAGGAGCGAATTACAGGCCGAAACACAAAGGGGCATCCAAAACACAACTTGAAACTCATTGACAACAATGAAACTGTAAAGCTTTTATAAACACTATGCTGCATACCTACAGAATAATATAGTGAAATGTATTAAAACTGTATGTAATTGCCCCTCAAGAAGCCAGTTCTCTGCTGTTGACTGCTTTCCTTTTAAAGTTTATCAAAATAATTGGTACGTAGGTGTTGGAGACATCTCTAAGAACTTGCTATGATTCCTCTGGGAATATAGGCTGTCTCGCTGTCTTCTGTCTATGAATTTAATGCCAGACTGACTCAATGATGTTGTAATAAGGGCTCAGAGGGAGCTTAACCATCTGCTGCAGGACTCCTTTTTCTTCTTGTCACAGAAGAGCCTGCAGTTGTCTCAAACTGCAATTATACGTTGGATTTCTATTCTACCTCAGAAAGGATTAAAAATCTTTTCATTATTTATATGTTTATTTTAGAAAGGATTAAAAGCTAAACATCCAAATTTTTAGAAACTTAGATTAGAGACATGAAGCTTGGGTGTCGTCTGACAGAATGCTGATCATGCAGATGAACGAGAAAGCATTATGGAAATATAGGCTTCAAATTATGAGCATTAAAGTAGAAGTACGAATAATGATTGGTGCATAAATTGGGAGGCTCACTCAGATTCAGAGACATCAGACAGTGTCGGAGTTTGTAGAATAATCCTGCAAATGTTCACATCACAGCCTGCATAAATATTAATATTTCATGTGCAGTTTTTTTTTTCACTTAAATCTCACAGATCTAATACTTTCTCTGTTCTGAAAAAAAAGGTGTCTGTGTGGCACAAATTGCCTGCTATGCACCCATTATCAAGTTTTGAAGCCCACAAATGCATGCTGTGTTTAAGTGCAAATGGAAGGCTGTCACTTCTGCGATTTATGTAGAGCCACGCATAATTCTGCAGTAAAAAGTGACTTTTTCTAAATAGACAGGGAAAAAAATGATCATGTCTTGATTGCAACTGAAATATGAGCAAAATTATGAAACCAAATTAAATGAGGCAAAAATACAACCACGGGGTTCAGGTACGCATACATAAGGCATGACATATCTAATTGAATTGGTTCTAAATATATTAGTTCAGCTGATAAAGCTAAACCCAAATAAACTCACCAAAATAGCATTATTTAAGTGCCGACATATTCAGTTTTCTCCCACCAGTAGGTGGCGTGTGCTGCAACAGACGAGCAGCCTTTTTGTTGTCATTATCTTTTGTGTAATTACCTGAACGTTGCTGTGAGTTACAGCTCGTCTTAATGAGCTAGTTCTTCTCTTTCTAAAGATAATCCATCCGTTTATCCCCGCTCCCCTGACTCTCATTAAAATGATTTTCTTTCTAAATTTAATTCTACCAAAGGGAGGGAGCGGGAGGGCTGGAGGAGGGGTCCGTGCACCAACAGCAATAAAACAGTCCGAGACTAACAACCTAGGACGTTTTACAAGCCTGGAACAGTCAATGTGGGGAAAATATAAACATGCCTTGGGAGATTTCAGCAGACAAGGAGTGATATGTTTTGCGCTGGGTAAATATGCTCATAAGCCAAACGCTAATGCATCCTGCGAAAGCAAACAATCGCATATGAAAGAGAATCTGGAATCTCACTGCAGCTCTGTTTGCTTCAAACAATCACAAAACAGGGATGTCTTACGAGGTTTTAACACAAAACTACCTCAAATATGAAGAAAAAAAAGTGAAAGGCCAATATAACTTCCCATTTCCTTTCCCCCTCTCGCCTCTGTGACGGATATCTCCCCACCATGCATCTTCATTGGCCTTCTGACAAGCTGAAATGTGTGAATTTTTCTTTTCCTCTCTTTATTTATATTTCTCGCCTGCTATTTTGATCCTGCTTGGAATACACAAATAGTTACCTCTCCAGTATTTTTTTTCTCATCCTTGGATTCAGCTGAAGGACATTTTGGCTATTCAGGAGGAACTATCTATTCCTTTTGTTGCCAGTTAATGTCAACCCCTGCTCTGCGGTAATAAATAGGAAATGCTAATGATGACAGGGTTGTAGGAGATCACAATGTTGTGTTTCACGGGTGTTTAGACACTCCTGTGTTTTTCAGTTCAGTGCATCAATTAGAATACTAACATGTGAATATTCACACTCAAAAAATTGCATGGTTAAGAACTAATTTGATCTTTGCTGACCCGGTGCTTTGTTGACAATCTAGGCCTGGGTCCTTTGAACATGACAGGGTTGGCTTATGGGTTTGACCTAGCGCACTGTGTTGGATTCTTATTGCAGAAAATGGATTAAAGTGACAAATATCTTATGTTAAAGCAACCAAAGTGTGGTTTGAAAGGAAATAACCCATAACCTTGATTACTAGACCACATCGAAATGAAACCAAATGGCTTTCAATAGTAGTTATTTCTATACTAAAATTGTTCATTCATAAGAATTTTCTAAATGCATCTGAATTTGTAAAAATTATGTATTCTGTTTAGAACTTGCCTGCCTATATTAATGGCATAGCAATTTCTTTAATCAAAATACAAATTTTAAACTTGGCTAGTGCCAGCATTTCTTAAATTTTCTTATTTCTTTCTGTGGAGATTTCTCAGTTCAAGACGGTGGAATTTGGAAAATCATGAGGTTTCTTCTTTTGTTTCTAACACAGTTACAGTTTCTCACACAATGTTTGGTTAAAAGCTTCCCAGCAGAACTGGCCCGATTCTGTGCATGCACTGCGTTTTGTGAATGTGCTTTATGGGCTTACGTCGAGTTCTTCCTGTTAAGGGGAGTCGATGTAATTTCACTGTCTATCGCTTTATGGTTGTTCTGGAAGTGAAATATCTGCAAAGTTTATGACTGTTTCCTGTGCTGCCTTAGAATATTTCCTTTGTAATGGCACCAGATTTGACCACGTTGTATTCTTACTGGTGTTTAAATGAAATGTAATTGAATATGGCAAGCTGTCATCTATCAATGTAATTGGACTATTTTGGTTAAACTTGAATTGGATCTGTTTGTCTTGTAAGGGGCCTTGAGATGGCATCTGCTGTGAGTTTGTGCTCTACAAATAAGCTGAAATGAATTGAGCGTAATTAAAACTAAACACATTGAGATTCCTGCAACAAGTACTTGCAGGAGTTTGGACCAATACTGAAGGCCAAAAAAAAAAAGTCTTTTAAGGGATCTTTATATACCAAATGACGGCAACCATTTTGGTTTAGCGCAGACGTCAGTGCCCTGAAAATGTTATTGTGGCTCTGAACAGAGCAAAAGACAACGAGAAGTTCCAGTCCATTTCTTTAGGTGGATTGGAATGGAAATGATGTGACGCTACGATAGAGGGAGACACGTTAAGATGAGGGAGTATTAGTACCACGATGAGGAAATGGAGGTGTTCTGTACCATTGGCTCTGATGGAAAGGGAACCATTACGGACATGTTTGTGTGTGGGTTTGGGTGTGTACCTCCAGGGTGTTTAAGCAAGTGAGCTAAAAGGAATTCTGTGTGTGTGTGCATGTGTGTGTTTTTGCACATTTATGAGCATGTCAACCCCTCGTCCCTTGTTTTTGATTATTGTGGTTGTTGTTTTTTGTTTTTTTTCCTTCTTCGCAGGGCTACAAGAGGAAAACTGAGGCAGCTAAGAAAGAGTACCTGAAAGCGTTGGCTGCGTACCGAGCCAGTCTGGTTTCCAAGGTAACGCTTATGACACACAAGCCCTGGCTAAGACTGATGATGGATTGGATGGAAAATCCTTGCTAATGGGCTGAGGTGGGGGTGTAGGTGCTCCATGGTTTGAGACTGTGATGTTGAAGACATTGGAGGGGGGTTATGCAAAAATAGCGAGCTATATTTGGAACAATACCTGATTTCCATCAGATCCGCAGGGAATTTTAATATACATTACGAATGAAATATGCAGTGTATGGTAAAAAGGAAGAGGTCACAAAAAGAAAGCACATAAGCATATGACCATGTCATCGTTCAGGATTTCACGATTAAAAATAATTGTTCTACCAGATGAATATACAGTGCATATCCTCGTAAAATAGAAATCCTAATCTTATCTCACATCAACAGACTAGTCATGCGTTAGATCATTGATTTCCTCATCTCATCATCTACAACAGGAAGTACATCACAAAACAACTCGGGCAATGATTGGCTTGCCGCTGCTTCCTTCTCTGACACTCTCCTGCTAATTCAGATCTATGACACACTCTTTGCCCAGAGAACGAAGCTGCGTTGTATACACCAGCAAAAAAAGAAGAGAAAAAAAAGCACTGGGATAAAAAGAAGGAAAGCAGGGTTGCATTGTTTAGTGCCGCCTCGTATTAACAGCACACACAATATAGTGAGGGGAAGATTCCTTTTGTCATTCCATTTGTTCTGCAGGCAAACAGCCTCATTTCTCTGCCCAGGGTCCTGCATATATGTATGCGTGCACATGTGTAAGTGTGTGTGCGTGCGCGTGTGCGTGTGTGCTCCTCTTCCTTTCCCATCTATCTGTCAAGGAGTCTATTGATCATTACCTCGGCCCTAGCTCTATTCATACAAATGGGCTCCATTACCTTCTAATCAACACTGATGGCTGGAGATGAGCAATCTGACAGCTCATCACTGAGGCCTGCGGAGAGACTGGAGGAGGTGGTGGGGGTGTTGCACCTGCTCACTGTCCTGAAAGCAAAAGGTCAAGTTTTCAGGAATTTGGTGGAGTTCAGCCTTCTCCCTTAAAGCAACGAAGTTCACTTTAGCCCTCTAATCGCTGGATTGCCGTCATGAGCATGTGAAGCACATAAACCACTTAAAACGTCAGTGTCACGGATGTCAATCAAGCGTCACAACCAGTTGTCTGATCTCTGGTGCTTGTGAATCTTTGGTGTGCTGATGCTGATTCAGATTAATCCTTAATAAACAACAGCATCAAAAATCCTCACTTTTCCACCTCCCTACTCTGAGTGTTCATTATACACTTATATATTTTTTTTATCATTTTAGGCAATAAGTTATTGTTAAGCATGTTTTTCTTAAACATTGTTTAAATTTGGACTCTGTAGGCCACATCCTACCCTCCAGATGTCCTCTGCTGACCCTCATGAAGACTCTAAATAATGCATTCATAAATTGTCAATTTTGTGCCCAAATCCAAATAGGCTGCATTTATTTTTCAAAAAATCACCTTTTATTTTGAAGGTCACACCTCTTGCTTCCACCTCTTGCACCCTTCTAGTGTCCTCAAGCAGGCAGCTATCATAAACATGCTCAGCAATGATTGAGATGCAAGTTGGTGTAAAAAGATTCAATTCATATTAAAATAATATGGCAGTTTTGAGTTGTTTTTCAGTGCTAAAGGCATTGATTCGATGTTAAAAGTTAACGTGGTATAACGAGGTTAAAACACTGTGATAACACTGTATAACAACTTTAAAACTTAATTAATCAGATGAAATAAACTAAAAATTAACATTGCTTATGTCTGGTAATCATTTCTTTATAAAGGTCAGTGGATAAAGTTTTGGTTGTGTGGACGCAAATGGCATAAGATTTGCAAGTTTGTATATTTATGGGTTATTTTTTTATTTGTTTTTGCTAGTATGTGTTCAAATCGCTTAAAATTTCATTAGCTGTTGTTCTCCACTGGGTGAAAAACAAGTTTTTTATCTTCTGGGAAGCTACTAATTTATTTATACTGAATGGGGGGGAAAAACAAATTGTGTGTGTTTTTTTGTAACAAAAGACAAAATTTAACCTCTAAAACAGGCATTTAACAGGGAAGAATTTTATACTGTCAGAAAATTGGTGAATATTTGTTATGTTTACAGAGGATTGAAAGTAATAATATTTCTACATTAAAATTGCACAAAAAAAATCTTATGGGATAAACTTTACGACAGTCTTTAAAAATGTACTTTTTGTCTCCAAGGGAAACAGGTAGAACACAAACTGAAGTGTTACACAATGTTGTGAACATAATGATTCAGTAAAGAGAATCACATTTTCTTTGTATGTCCTCACTGATAAGTTCAGAACGGCTGCCACCATTTCCACATTCAAGCTTGAAACTTAGAAGCATAAAGCAGAGCAAACTTCATGTTTTTTTTTTTTTTTTTTTGCACATCTCCATCCAATACACATTTTTAGTTTAAAGCAGAATTTTCCACCTGATGATGATCTTTCATTTGTCTCTGTCATTGCCTCCATTTTTCAGCACCTAAAATAATGTTTATTTATTTTTTGTTCCGCAGACATACAATGATCCTGAACCAAAAAGTGCCCAGCAGACCAGCCAACCCTCTCACTTGCTGCCCCCCAAACAGCCCCTGTACAGCGTGCCCCCTCAGTCTTCTTCACCCTACCTGGGCCCCCCAGGCTCCTTCCCCCTCTCCGAGCTCCAGAGCTATGGTGGGCCGCCGCGCCACGCCCTGGGCCCGACCCTCAGCCAGTCCCAGATGCTCCCGCCCAGCATGAGTGCCTCTCCCCCAGCACCCTTCCAGATCAGCCCGCCTCTGCACCCACACGCCCAGCTCTCCTTGCATCTGAATCAGCCAATCCGCATGCAGCAGTCGCAGCCAATCATCTCACACCAAATGGGGCTCCAGGCGCCTCTGCATTCCCCGCCGCTCAGCCAACAGGTTGGTGCAGTCCTCAATAAAGTTTTGTCCCATTTATTGAATTTGCGTAATTATGTAAAGATTTTTTTGCTAATTACTATTACACAAACATGTTTATTATGCCAAAAGTGGAACTTTGATTTTCTTAATAATTTACATCAAAATAACTAATTATGTAACGGCCTCAGTCAATAAAACCTCCAGTCCAGGAGCAGATTGTGAGAACTATTTCAACCAAGCAATAAGAGCAAATGGAGGGAGGAAAATGGACATTTTCCTCTCAGCAGCAGCTAGCATAGACCACTGACATCGTTTGGCCTCATAACAGATCATGGCTCAGCACACCCTGATGGCTGGCCATCACAAACGCTTGGCTGGTATAACCTTTCCTCCGCCTCCTCTGCAGGGATTCTCCCATCTTCAGGCTGATTACCAGAACAGTGTCGGGGGCTCGCAGTCCCCAGGGGCCCCCAATCCAGTGCATGGGCAGAACCCCGACTGGGATGGCGAGTACTGCAACAGGGAATGTGGATCCAACCACTGCGGGTAAGCTCATAACACCAGTTAACACATAGCTCCATGTTTTTGGGGTTTTTTTTTTTTAGTTTTTTGTTTTTTTCCGTGTGTTTTTTTTTTCCAAGATAAAATGCTCTGACTCTGCTGCACTTCATGACGTCTAGCTGTTGAGAATACTAAGCAGCTCTGTGAGAGCTCCTCATTTTCCAAGTGATCTACATTAAACCATTTCGCTTCACACTCTGACACTCAGACAGTGTTAATCATAAAAAGCAATTTACCTGCTAAAGAAAAGCATCTTCTTGAAATTGAAATGAGCAACGCAGCACAAGAACAATGCTATTACCGAGCTTGGAAAAAGTGCCGACATCCAATTATGTGTCGCTCCACATACATTTCTTTATTGAATAAAGTGAATATTTTCAGACAGTCACCAAGTAAAGATTTTGTGTCACGTTTAAAAATATTGTGTTGCTACTTTGGACTTTGGAGAGGACATGCAGATGCAGATGAATTTGTTGCTGTTTCTGGTAAAGATGTGTCCAGAAAAAATTATATATATATAAAAATAAAAAATCTCCAAACTCATTGTTGAAATACTGCAGCAAAGAATGGCATCTTGCTGCTGTGTTCTACTGAATTTCTTTTTAAAGTCTGTTGTTATATGAAACAATTTATTATGTTAGGCAATCTAAGTTCTCCAAGATCGACGGAAGAAAAAAAAAGCTGTATTTTTGCACACATTCAATCTTTTGTTTTATGCTTGATCCACCAGGAATGTTAGTCTCATCTGAACATGGTGCCTGGTTGAATGTTTTCTTTGGTGATGATATGGAGAAAAAAAGACTCTCTTGTTTAGATTTTAAATGGGGTCTAATTTTTACTATTAGGACAGCAAGATCCACTCCTGGCTGCAGTTGTTTAATTGTTATTCATAGTGGAAAGTTAAAGAGGGATTTTCATGTAGCATAGAGAACAGAACCAAAAACAGACAGCAGTGAGAAATTATTATGAGTTACTAATTAAATTTTAAAAAGTAAATATATATTTTTTAAAAAAACATTATAGTTACTTTTATTTTCCAGGAATTGTTAGAGGTTCCTTCAAGTATGCCAAGTTTGACTTAGTCAAAAAACAATAATTTCTTAAGGTAATTTGGGCTTGTACTCATCTTTACAAAAGGATGCAAACAAATTGTTTACATCCCTGCTGTCTGCTTCATTTAGAGCCGATGCATCTGGATCCCAAACAGGTTGGGTTAAACCCTGTTTGAGGCTCTTAGAAGAGGACTGAGTTTTTTTGCTTTAGACCTTCTCTACAGAGATCTTCGAGTGTCAGATTTCTGTAGTTTGGGACTTTCAGAAGATTCTAAATTACTTCTAGTTTGTCAGTAAAGATACCTGGAGAATCGACTCCAGATGTGACATTTCAAATACCAACTGATCTGCAAATTTTGAGTCTGTGCCTTGTGATGTCTGTCTTCAGCTTTCATGTTTGTTTTGGAGCCGCTCCCCAGGCCTTCATTGGAAAGAAAACAGGCCTTCATTGAAATGAGAAAAAAAGAAAAACAGATTTCCCTGGTGAAATGTTATGTAAAATAATCAGTTATGTTTTGCTAACAGACCTCTGTTCAGATTTATTCTGTCACACATTGACACAGCTCTTGTCTTCTTCATCAGCAGTGGCATGGGAGCCCGGGACAAGCCTCTCTACCTCACTTGAAGTTATATGACCTCCACATGTCAGACTCCAGAGAGATTTCTAACATAACAACAGCATCATTGATGTATCTGCTTTTTATTCATTTTGTTTTTCTTTTTTCTTCTTCTTCTTCTTCCTCTTCTTCTTTCTCTGATGGATTTTGAAAATCCCAAAGACTGCTACAGTACCACCTTTTTGCCAAGCACTTAATCGGCCACAAGCCCAAGGCACTTCCTTTGCTTTCTTTTTTTTTTTTTTCCTCCTCCTGGTCTGTGAACATTGCTTTTGGAGGTGGCGGTGAGCTTTAAGCTCATGCCGGCATACTGGAAATGAGGGCCAAAAAAAATGTCCTCTCATCTTGTTTTGATGTTTTTTGTCTTTTTTTCTTAATTATTTTTAAATCGCTTTCCTTTTCACTCACTTCCTCTCTGTTTGCCATGAACTATCCTTATTAGGAAGATGAAATGCTTAAAGCATACTCAAAGGTAGAAAATGTAATGCAGGAATATAGAATATAGTTGCTTCATGAGGGGTGGACGTACTTCAGGACTTTCTGAAACATCCCCGGCTGAAGGGAAAGCAACATTTTAATGCTGGTGTCGTCAAGAATACATAAGCCGTTTGTAAATCATTGCTCCGCTTACTAAAGGACTTTATTTCCTTTATCACAGAGTGATTGTAAATATCACCAAAATGGAACCCTCTCGTGTGTGTATTGAGCTGGAGTCCCTCTCCCTATTTTTTATTTTTTATGTTTGTTTATAGAAAAAAAACCCTCTTTTGTTTGGTTTTTCTGTGCAGGCGGATTCAGTGAGGGGCCACACACATTAAAAGCTCAAGTCGACGCTTGTGTTCATGTCTCTCCAAAAAAAAAAAAAAAAAGTACAAGCAGGAAATGCGAAGGCTGCAAACTGTTTGGTGTCCTTGTCGGCCGAGCAGAACTCCTCTGGAGGACATCACTCTGCTTGCGAGGCCTCAGGACGTTACAGGAGTTAACGATTAAACCAATCCCCTTTTAGCACCTCCTACTCTTGTCAATAAGGACCGCCTCCTTTGCCTATAGCCCCGCCTTCCATCCTTTTAGTCTCACATCACTTGTACAGGTGAAGTAAAAAAAAAATAAATATGTTGCTAAATGTGAAATGTTACTAAAGAAAAAAAACATAACAGTGGGTTTTCAAGTTTTTGACTAGTTTCCTTAGGTGTTTTAGAATTGTGTTAAACTTTTCCATCTTTCTCTTTTCTTTGTTTTTGTTTTTTTTTTGTGTGTGTGTGTGTGCGTGTGCGTGTGTGTGTGTGTGTGTGTGGAAAACGTTTTCAAGATATCTCATTTTAATTTTCACTGTAGCAGGATTTGCTTTTCAGGTCATCGGGGGTAGATATTTTAATTTTGTGTACAAACCTGCCAAACGTATTTTTTCATTTGTAAAGCCAGTGACGAAAGAGCCCCATTTTGTTCTGTCGAGTACCATAATGTTTTATAATTTGGTTATTTTATTTAATTTTTTGCAGGTTTTACATGTATTTATGGACATTATGAAGAAACATTTTGGCTTATTTTGCATCAGGCGCATCATTATTATTATTATTATTATTATTATTATTATTATTATTATTATTATTATTATTATTATTATTATTATTGAACCAACAACCTTATTTTTAGAATAATAAATATTTTCTGAATTTGTCGTTGGTACACTTCTCACATACATGTACCAACATTAGCTTCATTTTTGTGTCACAGATACTTCTTTTTTGTTTTGTTTTCCTTTGTCTGTAATAAAATGTTTAAAGTGGAAAAGTGGATTTTCATGTCTCCTCTTATTTTCATAATCTCGCATTACTGCATCTTAAAAATTCATTTGTTCTTATGGCAAGCAGTTGGAACTAGTTGGATGAAATGTTTGGTAGGATATTACTGTTTCAAGTGCCATGCAGTCGCCTGTGAACATCGTTTTGCCCACAACCCAACACCCGCCGCCCCCAAGTGCTCCTCTCCATGCATGGGCCCGAGGTTAATTAGAAGGATTATCTTTGATGTTCAGAAGTTACTGTAGCTTCTGTCACATGGCTCATTAGCTGCTTTACTTAATGCACTTTGACCTTTTAAATATCTTGTTTATCTTTTTTCTCTTTAATTCTGGATAGATTGATTTATTTATTTTACTCTACATCCAGGATAGATCAATATATTTCTAACAGGTCATATATATTCTACCAGCTGACCATGTTTATTTTTTCTTCTTCCTCTCCTTCTGCTAAAGGTGTGATGATGAAACTCTGGGTTACTGATGCAGTACACAGCCTTACAGCGAAGTACTTTGGTAGAAAAAAAAAAGCAGCTGCCTTTTAGTTTTGAATTTCACAGTTGGATTAAAGGTAGAATAGAAATGGAATCTATCATCCCTCCCCCCCTCAAAACATGCACCACCTTCTTCCCCGCTGAATGCACGTTTACACTGAGGATGATGACGATGATGACGCAGTGCCCCCCAGAGGTGATTTATAGACAGTTTCATTGGTTTTGCATGCCAGAAAGTAAAATTCAGATGATAAACGTGTATGTATTTTATTTGAATGCTCTGTAATACTAACGCCAAATTGAATGGAGTGTAAGAAAAAAGAACAAATAGTTTTAAAAGGCTTTTGCGAATAAGAAAACCACTGAAAATAACTTAAACCATGTCTCAACCAGCTTTTCAAATCCACTGATTTGTTCGCCTAATTTTCTTCTCAAAATTCCTCAAGCTCAGTCAGATTGGATGGAGAGCATCTGTGAGTGTCATTCTTTCTGTCACAAGTTCTCAGAGTCAGATGAGTGTTTTGACTAGGCCATTCTAACACCTGAACATGCTTTGCTATAGATCGTTCCTCAGCTCTGGCTGTACAGTTAGCTAGTTGTCTTGCAAATACAAAACATCTGTTTAAGTCTGCTGGAGCTTTTAATATGTTTGTTCCCTCAGGAATACTCCATGTTCATCTTCCCATCAACTCTGATTGGATTTCTTGTCACTTCTTAAGGAATACTGTCCCAACAGGATGATTCTTCCAACACCGTGTCACACCTTAAAGATGGTGTGCTCAGGATGATGTGTAGTATTAGTTTTCCAAAACACTTAAAGCTGTGTTTTGCCTGTTATCCTGAAAGGAACATTTTTCCCACATCGGGCCTTTTCTGAGCTTCTTACACATTCTCTGTTTGTTGGGTTGTGGTTGAATTGCAAACCAGCCTTTCTTTTAAAAGTGATGTTCTTTCTTCTCCATCATTCATAACGGCCAAATTTGTACAATGCAAAGTAGATAAATAGCCTTTCGATACAGTCTCCTACCAGAGCTGCCAATATTTGCTGATCTTCCAGCGAAACCTGAGGTTTTAATCAGTCGTCATCAGGTACTTTCCAATAACTTATTACTGGTGACCCAATTGAGTTTTTTTTATCAAAGTAATCCACTAAAAGCAGTTTGGAAATTGTAAGTGAAAAGGCTGCTACACACTCAATATGCTCCGCTCAATATGTAGCATGAAGAAGAATTTTTCATTTTTATATGCCCTTTATAACCTTTACGGATGTGTATTTTTATTGGGTGAACAAAATCTGTTTTACACTGTTGTGGAACAAAAAGTTATTTTGCTTTGTGATCTGATATTCCAATGTTATATTGGACTGAATTATGTAAAAAATATTTAAATGTGCAGCAATGAGTGAGAAGACTCATTGCACTGTGTGGCCTGCCCATATTAATTTGACTCTATCGCCATCTGCTGGTAAAGTTAAATGATTACGTTATGTACAGTATGACCTTTGTTTTCTTCCCCAAAACTAAATATATTGGACTAATTTCAGTGTTTTAACAGTGTCCAAAAAATGCTTTTATTATATATAGACGTATATATATATGATATATATACGTCTATATATATCATATATATATATATATATATATTATATATATATATATATATATATATATATATATATATATATATATATATATATGATATATATACGTCTATATATATATATATATATATATATATATATATATATATATATATATATATAGACGTATATATATATAATATATATACGTCTATATATATATATATATATATATACGTCTATATATATATATATATATATATATATATATATATATATATATATATATACATTGCGTGTTATTAATAATAACTATTAGTTACAGATAGGAAGCTTTCTTAAACCAAAATGAAATCTGAAAATCACTCAGACAGGCAGTTTATGCTATGGCATCCTAATCTGAGTAATCCTAACTTCAACTACTTTCTTTTGCAAAGAAAAGTATTTCCCAGTATGATTAAATAGTAATAACTTTTAACCACACTGTGTATTTTATAAAAGTTACAAATAATATTTAAAATGTTACTTTCCTTAGCTTTTTAACTCAAAATATATCACTCCAGTCAAACAGTATTAGTTTTTTTTTTTTTTTTTGTTTTTGTCTAGCCAATCTCCCATCACTAATATTGTGTCCAACAGCTTTGATACTGTTTCCATCTGCAGCCTTCAGAGGCTTTCATTTCCTCCTCAGACAGATATGAACTCCCCAGACGGCCCGGCGTTCAGGGCTTCATTGTCAGAAAGCCAACAGGCACAAGACAAACAAAACAAGATGGACTTTTCATCGAGATCACTACCCAACCATTTGATGTCTCGGCAGATAACAACACCAAACTGCATTTTGAGAAAATTGCCCTGTGATATCCTCATTTGGATCAAAGCTGTCTTGTGTTTGGAGGTAGCCTGCTCTGTCTGAAACGGCAGACTGCAGCCGGCCTTTTGTTCACTGATGCTAATACGTCTGAGTTCTGCATTTATGCAGCGCAGTGACGTAAATATTTTCAACATTCTGGAAGGAAAACTGCTAAATGTTCACCATTTCATTATAGAACACAAGCAATTCAAACATTGAAGAAAATACTTTTATTGTTACATGTACCTGCTGCCAGGGTCACTGAGATACAACAGACATAATAGGTACTCTCACTTTTAAGATTAAAAATACACGTTTTCTAGATTTTACCTGGCAAATGTAATTACGTAATATAATAATGTCTTACACATACAGTATTTTGTGCACAACAAAAAATATATTTTGAGGTTTACAGAAAGCATCCGTCCTCATTTGAGGTCAGTCAATAAAGAGATAATCCATATTTAACCTTTGTGCTATTTATTGGTGTGCTCATAGCTGTTATAGATGTGACAATATAATGAGTGTGAAATATTTCTATGCACCATATTATGCACTATAATAATTATATTAAGTGTCTTTGTTGATTTAATTTAAAAAATTAACACTTTGGATTACTATTACAAGAAAAAGGATGAGTAGAGAATAAAGAAAATCCTCTTGTTATTTTGAGAAATTCTAAGACTTACTGGAATAAAAATGCTGGTAAAATGGCACAAAGTTTCCTATTTCGTTCCTTCAGCCATCATGTATTGAATGAATTATCAGAATTCAGAGTAAGCTTTTAAAACTTTTTCTATGCGGGAAAACTCTAGATTCTCTATGAGCCACAGGCCACAGGCCTCAGTTTTTCCTGCTTCGGTAAATGTTTTCTTTGGGTTTTTGTGGGGGCTGTGTCTCTGCCTTCATTAAACATTCAGTTTGGTCTGAGAGTGTCAAAAAAAAAAAGAAATATCAGCATTGACAAGGCTGGCACAAACGACAAAAGCGTCCAATGGGAACACTAATACAACCACTACAGAGATATCTGGTCCATTCTTTCTGCTACTGGTGCTTCACAACAACAGAAGCTGGTTTCTATAATCTTTTCATGATTACATTGGAGGCATAGAAATCATGTAAAATCATTAGAAAACAGACTACCCTGATAGAAGCACGCCTAATTTATTTACACAATAAATTGCAAATCTTGTTTTTTGTGTGTCTAGAAACTGTGATTTAAAATATGTTACTGAGTCATTATAGGAATGATTGCAAAATGCTGTTTCAATCGAAAGTTGCTAAACATAAATGTTAAAATGGGTGATATGCTGTACTGCTAGTAGTCCTCCTTAAATAGTGACGTCATACAGTGGCTCTGAAAACGGCCCTGCTAAAAATCCAGGTTTTTGGCCCAAAAACCTGATGCTTTAATAAATCCTTTTGAATTTTTATTTTGTTTTTGTATTTAATGTAAAATATTATACACCTGGGCAACCATAAACTGATTGCCCAAGTGTTGACAACCCCAAACTAAGACTTTGTTGAAGAATCTTTAGACTCAACTTTCACTTTGTTTGCTTTTACTGACATGTTTCCATTTGCTCATTTCATCCTTTAGCTTCAGCTTAAACTTCTAAACCGGCGGCAAAGAATCAGCTCACTTATTTATGCTTATGCATTTCTCATTAAAACAAACACATTTCCTAGATTTGTTTGTTTTCCAGTTGAATTGTACAGGATAAATATCACATTAAAGGCGCTAAAATTTAGCATTTGCTGCATTAGGATCTCATTGCCCAAAATCGTGGACATTTCATATGGTTGTGTTGTAAAGCTGCACAATATGTTGAGTCCCGGTTGATATCAAAGTATCAATATGTGCAATTTTGCAATTTCAAAATGTCATTTGAAATGTCATTTGCATCATTTGATGCAATGATGGGCAGTGTGAGTGAGTAGGATCAAATCACTGCTCACCAATAACCTATCTGGACATTTTGATAGACTGTTGCTGTCTTTTACCCACACGCCTTCTGTTGAAGCTCAGAGAGTGGGAAACATGGCGATATTGGAAAAGAAATAAAACAGGGGTAATCTAGCAATTGCATTCGATATTATCAATGCAATATCCATCTATAATATTGAAAAGCTCTGTTTTCTTCTTATTGTGCAGCCCTAGTAGACCTTTGAGAGCCACTGTAGGCTAGCAGCATGTTAGATACAGAAATACAACCGAATCCACTGCTGAACTCTCAGTTTTACCTCACACGTCTCCACTTTCTGAAGAAGTGTAAACTACTCAATACTAGGTAAAGTTTTATCATTAATGACAGACAAAGTTATAACAATCAAACCCGTCTTCTGTTTTTCTTTTCTTTGCTCGTCGGTGGACAGTAAACATGGAAAAAAATGCTGTTTCAATCAAAAGTTGCTAAACATAAATGTTAATATATGTTTAGCAGAGGATATATAATCATATATCCTCTGCAGCTATTCACATTTCTAGAAGAAAGCACATCCCAGGATTAAACGTCACAAGACTGTCAAAACCTTTCAGAGTAAAAGCTGCAGGAACAAATCTGAAATCCTGCTTAAAACGTGACCAGTAGACATTTTGAACTGCCTGAAGGAGTCGCAAAATATGCTTTTATATTTTGTACACAAGGGCACTCCACAAGGCCTCTTTGTAAATGTGTAGTTTTTGTTTTCACTTTAGCTTTAGCTTGTACAATAAATTTGAAAAAGAATGTGCTCAAAATGAATGTAAACATTTGAAGACTGTTGCTCAGCTTGCCAGGCGTCACTCAGCCTGCTCGTGTTTCTCCTTCTCTTCGGGAACTGACATGAAGATCTTCTGACAGAACATTGTGAAGATTTCTGTGGCAAAAAAACAAGCCGTCGTATTACATATGTTGCTTCGGCACAACGAATATTCTGAAAATTAAGAAAACGTTGTCTCACACCACTGCTTCACATTGAGCAAAACAATAAACCAGAACAGCGGGTACAGGTATATCTTGTCGTGACTTTCGTAACAAACCGCAGGAGAGACCTCTTTAGCCCGGTCTGAACAAAAACAAAGGCATCATTTTAAAATAAACACACCCAGAACTTCACCTACCCAGCATCTTCTTGATCATATGGGGTTTCTTCCACTTGTAGCCAATCAGATACGCAGGAATGCCTGTGAGAATGATGCTGCTGCCCAGCAGGCTCTCAAACGGAGCTGCCCAGAAAGACACGACGATCATGAAAACGCAGCCCAAAACAAACGTCACCGGGATGAAAAGATACACCTGCAGAGGGAAAATTAATGAAAACGCTGTTAATTGTACAAATACGAGAAGGCATGAGGTTGATGTTGCCTGATTTACAAACTTAATACATGACAGGTTTGGCCGAAACCAATGGTGAAAAGACAACTTTACACCTTCACCCTTTTAGTTCTGTTATTTCTTCCTAATACCAGACCTTAAGATTTATAAATAATAATTTACACAATCAACTAATGTGATATTAAATGATATAATATTGATTGTTGTATGGTATTTTAGAGAAGATTAACCGAGATGTCAAGAATCAAGGCAATTAAATCTTGTTTTCTGAGAGGCGTTCTGAACCGAAACACAAAATAAACTTGAAGTCTTGTTTCATAATTAGCTTACAAATAAAGCTGGGATTCCTGTTGATTTCCTGTGTGCAGTTTACTTTGTAAAACAATTGAGCTGAGATCACACTGCCTCAAACGAAAGATGAAAGGCGTCTGTCAAGGTTATATTCCCACGATAAGAGGGCAACAAAGAACAGTGCGTTCATTCAGTTGCCACTCCCTCCTATCTTGGAAACACAGCGTGGCTCCACTTCCGACTCATAACAGGAGCAGTGATACAATGGTGCTTTCACCAAATACGAAATAAAAATAGTCCAGCCCCTGTTTAACCTGCTGACATGTTGATGTTTTTGAGAAGACAAAGAATCTGGCTGAAAGTCAAGTGGGCTCCTGGTCTTTTGCTTGGATTTCGCCCCCAAATCAACGTTGTTCAGACTGTACCTTAATAGGCCTTCTCAGATCGGGCTTGGTGATGCGCAGCCACACCAGACCGGCGATTGCCATCCCGACGCACAGCCAGGTGAAGAAGCTGAAGAGATTAATGACTGAGAAGATGTCCTGGGAGATGGCGTACATCATGGACAGGAGGCACTGTTGCAAAGTACAAAGATCACAGCACCGGTTTGTTCTCTTAGCTCAAAAAGTAAAGAGACATGTGTCTGGCAGATTTTGTTGTCGTTGTTGTGACGATGCTCTTTGGTAATAAATCCCCGCTGAGTTTACCACACATTTCATTTTATTTCAAGCATCCACTTATCTAGACTTTGACTTGGGATTTGCTAAAATTGAAATGTGGTACAGGGTATTTTAATGCCATTTAGGTGCAAACTAATATTTCAAATAATACATGAAGATTTTTAAAGTAGAGAATGTGAAGACAGGAACCTTTAAATGTAGCAGTTTTAATCATTCACATCAACCAGACCCTGTTTCAGAACCACAGGTTCCATTTTCCAGTATCCACAAAAGTCCTGAACTTAACTTTGTTTTATATTTGAATGATCCTGCATTTAGCAAATCAAAAAACAAAATAACTTTTTTGATAATCAAGGTGTGAAGCCCACATCAAACCATGTGAGTTAATATAATTTAACATAAATACAAACAATTTATCAATAATTTTTGGACAAATGCTCTTTTAAGACAGATGTTTACGAAAAGTCTGAAGTTTTCATGACAGAAAAATTTAAATAATATCAAATTCCATACTTTTGCAGATTCCTCAAGAATGAAGAGACATATAAAACCTCATACCAGTAGGAATCCTGTGTATTTCTCTTTAAATGATGCATCAATTGTGGGTTGTGGTTCAGGGCTGGGTCAGAGGGCTGCACCACCCATGAAAAACTTGCCAAACCCTCTCCACCATGCCAAACTGTTTTTTGCTGGAGGTAGTGTGATGTTGTGGGTGTCAAATACTATATAGACTCAAGAACGAGTAAGTAAGTAGTTAACGTAGGTAGTGTTCAAGCTGCTGAACAAATCCAGAATGAGAAAAAAATGACATCAACAAAGGATGAAAAAGAGTTGGAACCAGTTTAGCCTTACTGTAAAGATTAGTGATGGAACAGGTGTAAACAAGTCTGTATGAACCAGTCCCAGAGCAGCAGGGAGTTGACCTTCTCTGGCTCCAGCGTAGAACAGCCTATTTGGGAAACAGGCAGTTATTTTCCACTTGAAGCAGATAACATTCCCATCCCCGGGTCTACGGAACAAAAAAAGCATGTCAATGTTGTGGTTTAGTCACCGTGCTGATGTAAACAGAGATCCATTGACGGCTCCGAAGCAGGAGAGTCCCACAAAGACAGGAATCAACCAGGCCATCACACCAAGGTGGTACTCTCCAAAGCTCTGCGTCAGTCAATGAGGACAAAGATACATGTAGAGGTGAAAATTCTGCTGCTTAAAAAGTAGATTTTGCGAAAACTAAAGACATGCGTGCTGTCATGAGCTGAAGGAAATCACGCTTACCACAGCAACCGCCTCAGACTCAACCATGACTTGAGGAGAGATGGTGGTGAAGTAAGCTAGGTTGGTCAGAACGTATACCACTGTGACAATAGGCATTGATATGATAATAGCTAAGGGCAGATTTCTGTGGGGAGAGACCAGTAATCATTAAACAACAATACAGCAAAACCAGCATTTTTATGACAGGAAAGAAGTCTTCACGTCATACAGTAAATGTAGTGATCAATTTCATGCGATTCAATATTTTTATTTCCGCTCAGCTTTCATGTGTCACTGTACTCTATCTCCATGCAGTCATCTGATGGTAGGCAAGCTTATTCATAGATGAGGGCAGTCATGCCATTGCTGTAATATTCACACAAGAGTTGGTTAAATTACTGAAATCAACCTGCATCACTTTTAAGTCACCTCTCTGGATTGATCATCTCTTCAGTGACATAGTTCAGGTAGTTCCTGTGGGAAATAAAAAAAAATTGGGTTAAGGTGTTTTAATGAGCAAGTAACAAATGAATGATAAACAGATATTTCAAAGTCTCACCAGCCACCGAAAGCAAAGAGGCCGCTGTACAACGCCAACACAATGTTGTCCACTCCCATTTTACTTCCTTCAAACGCCTTTTCTGGTGTCAAATATGGCACATCACCTGTGTGCACACAGAAAAAGTTATACAAGGAACGACTAAAACACAAATATCCAAACTCTGTGTTGTTTATTGACAAATACGGAGCTAGAAATCAGTAATAACGGCTTGGGCTCCCCTTGTGGTGGCAGAGGGACAAAGCAACTTAACAGAAAACAGCAAATACATGTCTGAAAGGGGTACATGCTTACAAAATTTTGAAAAAGAAAAAAAAACGAAATTAACATTGACACTTGTTTCTTGTGTGTACAACAATTAGCATTGCGGCACAGCAAGTCAGTAGGGTAAGGAAGAAATGCAACTGTTTAAATCTCTAACAAACCATTTCCTTAAAAGATGTGGGGTTGATTATTAGCTGATAACAGGCAATTATTTGTATAGTGTGTGTGTGTTTACAAGCTTTCCTGAAGACAGGGCTTCATTACTAGTGATTATTTGACCATAAGTGCCTTTCCTTCTCATATACTGCTAAAAGAACGTCAAGGCTAGGAAAAAACTGAGAAACACAAGTATGGGAGTTATTTTAAGCTAGTATTATTAACTGAATCATACTTCAAGATATAGTTTGCTCACATCACTTCTGGAATATTGTGTCCTTGCACATCTAGTTAGATTTTCTCTTACACGTCTAATACTTTTTAATTTCTGCCTGTTGAACGGAGGAAGACTGCCTGTTGACAACCTGATATTTTCAGCCAGCATCTCCGTAGATGTGGGAAAAGCGAAGGGAACTTCAGTGCAGGTGACATTTAAATGCCATCAGAATTACAAATATGATGAATAAACTTTAGTCCGTGAAGGAAACACATACATTTATTGCATCAGTCTAGCACTATTAGAATGTGAATTTGTATTCTCACTGGCCGTGAGCCCACCCCACATGGTGCTTTCAGATGTTAATAACTTTCTCTTAAGTGGGCCTTAAGCCCACATTATTTTTTCCTTCAGTCCTTCTGTCATGTACTCAACAGTGTAGGCTTTTCCACCTCAGTACCATGGTAACTCACTGAGGGGGGCAGGGGAGAAGGGCGAACAATGGCACTGGGTGTGGCCTTCCAAAAGGAGGGAAAAGAGCAGATGTCACATTCTGCTCCCGCCTGTCCGTTTGTGATTTATTTAATTTTTTTTTGTTACATCATTTCTGAGTAACATACAATGCATCCACGTAGCTTGCATGAAATAACGCTCAAAAGCCGGTGATTTTCTCTGTATAAAAAAATCCTAAAATATATTCTAATGTGATCCTTTATCAAATAAACGCTGCACAGATGAGACAAGTATGGCAATGATTTACAGCCATGTGCGGCCTGCAGACCCACACACAGATACACGCGCACATGGCTGCACAGCCGGACTCAATCAGCCGGCTGCAGACAGACGGGCCCTGTGTTCAGGCTCAGCTAACAAACTGAAAGGACAGCAGCCTGCTTCATTGGGTTCATTAACATGCATCAAAAATTTGCTCGTGATTAGAGACAAAAGAAAAATGCCTCGCACTCTACATGTAAATATCAGGGTTAAAATCTGAGCAACGAGCATAAAACAAACAACAACACAAAAACAATCTTCTTCTAAAAATAATACACGACTCCAGATACTATCAACACCTATGTACTGTGAAACACATAATTATTCACACACCTAGAATATTTAGATTTTAAAGATCTTCATCCAACCAAGAAGTTTGTTTCTGGTCAGAAATGAAACGGACATCTTTCCAAACATAATAAATCACAATAAAATATGAATATGCTTTTCATTTATTATTAGAAGGGTATTGCTTACGATCACAGCAATTAAATTATGTTACTTTTAGACAGAAGAAACACGTCGTTACCGATTAAAGAATGACTTCAAACCGTAATCGAATGATTGGCCTATTTAGATAAAAATATGTGGTTATTTAACTGATAAAACTGATTTTATTTATTTACTTTTTTTTTTTTTGTTAGTTATAGGCAACTCGAATGTAAAATAACAACTTGCTGAATTAAAATCCATTAAAAGTAATTCACAATTATCCACTGATATTAACAAGTTTAATTTATAATCAAGGGGTTATTCCAGTCTGCACTGTGGTCTGGGTGAAAATTAGCTATTTGTCTCAAGTTTTGTTGTTTGTGTAGCTTAAAGAAATTGCCAAACAAGGCCTATTTGTTTTGCCACGTTTTGTCATATCACATCCTTTTGTTAGTTTGGTTCTCAAAATCGGCAAAGTTAAATTCCAGTTTACTCAGTTCCTTGAAACTGACTTCCCACGTCTTAAAATCAAGTTATAAAATTAAATAGGTGCATAGTGACATTAAACCAAGAGGCTCAAGTGAAGAAGTGACAAAGCGCTGAGGTGACAAATAACCATCTGAACCCCTTAAGAACAAAGCATGTGTTCAAGGGTGCTTACCTGTGAATATCTGGATGAAGCCAAAGAGGATGATGATGATGAGAGCAAGTAATTTGGATGCTGTGAACAAGTCCTGGACCTTGGTGGCTGCTCTCACACTGATGCAGTTCACAAACGTCAAGGAGGCTGCAACGTGTAGTGAGAGTCAAAACTATGACGAGGAATTCAGAATTAAATGCCTCAAAGTCACCTATGCAAGGAAGTAAAAATATGACTGAAAAATGCATCTGAAAAGTTCAGCCTACTCACTAAGACACACGCAGGCAATGAGCTTGGCGGCACTGTCTGGCACAGGGCAGGTTGGGTACAGCGGTTTAAGAAGGTAGGTGGCAAACACCAGCGAGACCACATATTGGGATGATGGACGAATTATCAGCATCTCCACCCACAGTTTCAGAAAGGCTGCAAGTTCGCCGTATACTTCGAGGATGTATGTGTAGTCTCCTCCAGATTTTGCGATGGTCGTACCCAGCTCGGCATAGCACAAGGCTCCCATGGTGGAAACAACTCCACAGGCAGCCCAGACAATTAAGGAGAGGCCAGCAGAACCAGTCTCTTTGACCACTCCTGTTGGAGTCACAAAGATGCCCGAGCCGATGATGGTGCCTATGATCATCCCCACGCCGTTGAAGAGGGTGATGCTGCGTTTGAGCTTGATCTTTTCACCCTTGCCAGGCGGGCTGTTAGTTGGGTCTGTGGCAGCAGGGGCAGATACCATGGGGTCCGATGGGGATGCTGGGTGCTCCACAATAAGACCATCTTGGATGGGCTCTGCCTCAGTTGCTGGCGAAGTCAAGGTAGAAGACGATCGGAGATGAGAAACACATTAAAACTTTGGATTCTCACAAGAGGAAAATGTGAATATTTTTCAAATCTGATTATTTTCTGAAGTTTCTCCTAATGTTACTCAACCTACCATTTCTCTGTATAGACACATGTGCACCTGCCATTTTTATCACCTGTTAGCATCACCACTCTAGAAAAGCACAAGCTCTGCACAACAGTTACATTAACTCTGCCATTCCAGTCTTGCATCAGTTGCATCAGAGCGCATGATGGAATAACGCAGCTCTGCACCATATGCCGACTCCAGGAGTGTGAGTACAGATTGTACTTACTCTCCATCTTCTCCTGGCTCCTTGCTTTAGCAACACTCTCCCGGCTGCTTCTCGATTTCAGCTCCGGCTCAGCCATGTTCCCTCCTTTTCTGAATCCTCTTGTCTTGCCTTCTACCTCTTGTCCCTCTTTTCTATCCCTTACATGCACTCCTGTCCTCTGGATTTATCTTTGCCTCTCTCTCATGCACATACAGACAGACTCACAATTCTCTCTTTCTGTCACCCAGCCTAATTTGTCCTCTCACACACTCATGCACCCGATTGTCCTCTCATTTACACTCAGTGCCACCGTCACTCAGTCTGGAATCTATCTCACCCTGATCCTCTCAGCCTCTCCCTCCCAGCATGCAGCAGGGAGGAGCTGAAACTTAGTGATGCTGCTGATGCTCGTGCCTACGCCCACTCTGAGTGCATCATGGGATAGCTCAGTAAGGAAAGTGGGTTACAAGAAGGGGGTCATTAGGAGAGGAGAGGCACGTGACTCTTTAAGCTTTTTGTTTGCCGCCCTGTTCCTGTGGCAGAAGGTATGGTCCGTGTGTGTTAGCGTGTGCTCTGATGTCAGAGCTTATTAGGAAGGTGTAGGGGTGGAGCTCCCTCTACTGGCGTCAGTGCGGTACAGTGTGGACCTTTGTGCTCTGAGAAAGGTGAAACTATGGAAAATGGACCCCCAGGGGCCATCTTTAGAATTTAAATGCTGAGTGACAATAATGATCTACTTGTTTTGTCAGCAACAACTGATGCTTTATTCATTAGCTTATTGTGAAAAGGAAGAAAAGCGTTCACACCTGCAGTACATTCTCAGAGCAATTACAGAACTTAAGTCATGCCAACATGAACAGACACTTTCTGGATCTAAAACTATCAACATTTACTTAAAGATACCAGGCATTTTCTAAAAATAATGATCAAGCTGAAGGATAGACAGAAATGACAGATTAAGAGGACTAGGAGTTTTTTAATGATTTGTTTTGATAAATAGACAGTATGAGAATTAAAACCTGATACTCTACTGGATGCTATAGCCTGATGTGCACATAATCTTTTCAACCACAAGATGGAGACGTTATGTAGTTTCTAAACTTACACCAGCTTGCAAAAGTATTGAGAGAACTTGAACTTTTCCCATATTTTATTTTTATGAGATTAAAACAAAAAGTCTGGTGTATTAATTCATTCGTTTAAAATAGGATTAGGTTATAAAACAACATTCAACAGAAGCTAGTTGGAGATGAAGGGGGACATTGACATTAGTTGTATGAATTTAATATAATTTTATAGCAGGATAAGTCTATAAAATATATTCTCATTTAATGCATATATTAGGAAATAATCCCTCAAAAAAAGCGTGCATTCGGAGAATGAGCCCCGTTCTGTTGAAGCGTTTCATGCATGGTGTTTGCATACCTCTGAACGCTGACAAAGTCGACAAGCGATCCCCAAGCTCTGTTCACATGAACGTCTTAGCTGCAGCGGAGGAGCGCAAGCCGAGGCTGGGTTTAACCAGGGCACTTTCTGCCACGGGTCCGGGGACTTTCCCCTGGGCAAGTATGTGAGAAACCAGGTTCTCTGTTTGTAGCCCAGATTGCAAACCTTCTGAATGCCCCGGATGAAGGAGCACGACGACTACGTTTTTATAGCGCACAAATTTTAACCTACTTGCTTTTGTGGTTTCTCTCAATTTTTTTTTCTTGCACTACGCTGTTATGTCGATATAAAACAAGTGGTTACTTGCTGTATTTTTAAAGACAGTAATGTGTTTCAGTACAAAAATACGAACAAACGCGCTGATATCCGCGAGGCATCATGGGAACTGTGAAGTTTCCGTGGTTTCATCACTCACCGACATATTGTGAGTGGCGTTGTGTCTCGTTCGCTACGTTTGATCATCCGAGTAAATGTCATTAAGACATTAACATAAATTCTCTTATTCCAGATACTCTTGAAATAAATGTCGTATTAAGCTACAATAATCCCTGATATTTTGAAGTGACGTATTAGGGGATGATACTGTGAGGCATTAGTTATTCTGTTAGGAAGACACGATATAAATTAGGAAACCAAGGAAAACAACCCAAACATTTGGAAGCAACTTCTGCTTATTAACTAAATGCAGTAGCTATAATTAATCTAACTAAAGCCACAATATTTTGGTGGTTTTAGAAGTCAATAAATTTGCTTGCCTTTTACTGCTATTAATACTGAATACTTAACAACACTATTAAATCTTAATGGTAACGAATAGTTATGTTTAATCAAAAATGAAGGGTATCTGTAGTGAAAATTTGCCACTCACAACATGGCGGACGAAGTGACGTACCTTTTTTCACTGTACGATGAAGCCAATGCGGTGTCTGCTCAGTTTCTCCCTTTAATTATATATGAATTACATACTAAGCGTCCACAGTGTAGTTCTCTACAATAGCTGTCGAGAACAACTGAGTTTATTCAAGTTACTTGTCTACGGCCCGATTGTTTCGCTCCCAGCATGCATTGCTGTACATAAAATCCCAGAAACATTTCTGTTTTTGAGTATTACTGACTAATAAAGCTAGAACAACATAGTTATACTGTCTCTATTATATTACGCTAGTTATTTGTCTTTTTTGACACATTGTGTTTAAAAATCGGTTTGACACCATAATCATTTCTTCTCTGCAAAACAGGGGTATATAGCCAAAGACTGTAACCCTCACTTCCTGGTGTGGGAGGAAGCTCATTGTAGAGGTCACAAACTGAGTGCTCGTCACTCTACCAATCACCTCGGGGAAGGTCTGAGACAAGAGCCAATGGTTACCCTTGCAGGGTATCACCTGACAAAGGTGAGCGAGTGAACAGAAATAATGGTCGGCGACTGCATGTCTCACAGCAGAAGCCAGGGGGAGCAATTTCTCAGCTCGTCTGGTGGATGTGGTGCTAGTCGCGGCTTGGAATCACTCGCGGCTGGCGATTGAGCGCGATGTATGAGGTGGGGCACAGCTCCAGAACCCAATTCAGACTACTCTCCTCCCACACTTTTTTATAATACAGAAAAGTTCAATTTATTGGCAATATATACTTTGCACATCTAGAAACTCATTTATGCACTCAGATACCTGCAGATCTTCAGGTATTGATGGCATCAAGATAATTGTTTGACAATTAATGCACAAGAAATCTGTGTGTATGTATGTTGGCTATCTTTGACTTTTGACTTATTATGACATGTGTAAACCTTGTCTTCTAAGCTGAAATGTTTACTCCAAAATAAGACCAAATTTGATATCTTCTGTTTGAAGTAACTTTTTCAGAATCTATTAGATAATATTGAAACAGACAAACAAAAATATTAAGTTATTTGCAAATTGTTTTAAATGTGAAATAGAGAACAATATTACAAATAAAACACAATTACAAAATAATACATCTAGCCCACCTTACTTTTGTTTAATAAGCTAACATGCAACCAGGACAGGAGTTGTTATCAAATGATTAGAAGCTGGTATGTAACCTCCTAAGAAAACAGAAAACTGAACATTTGCTTGTGCTGAATATGTCAACTCAAATTTATTCGGATCAGTCCCTTCGGCATGGAGGAAAGAAATCCTTCATTATCTTTATTCTTGTGTCATTTTGAGCTGGTGCTGCATCATAAATGTGACCCATGAAAGTACACAATTGATAAGACTCAGCAAACGCCTTCGAACACCAGAAATACATTTTCTTCCTCAGGCTGCCACTAATCCCTCATTGATCAAATATAAACCTAAATTAGCCGTGGAAAATATGCATATATATATATATACCTCCTCCGGTTCTCCATCACAGCTTATTGCAGTTTCAGCTGCTGGTGTGTGACCACGACAACATGTGTGTTCACTTGGGGAGAATCAGAGCAAATGCTTTCCACTTGAGCTTGCTTGCTTTCAGCATCAATACTCCCTGACAGATGACCTCGATTTCCCTCCTGCACACGGCCTCTTCACACAAGGCTTCTTGTTGTTTCGATTATTTTGCTCCCAAGCCAATCAAACCCGACTCGCCTCGTCTGACCGTTTCAAAAATCTACAACGCCACATGTAGGAAGTCCAAGCATTGAAATGTTACCGCCCTAACCCGCTGATGTCACATTGATGTGTGCCGCAGCAACTTTCAGAAACTCACAGACATTCATCAGCAGTCTAAAAATCATGCTAATGCTTGGATCTTAGTTGCTTTATTTTTCACAGAGTGGAACAAAAAACAGAATTTGCTGGAAATATTCTCTGTGATGTATACAAAGTCTGAATTATAGATACTTGCTCAAATATGTGCTGAGGATAATAAAAGGGAAAAAGATCTGTTTGGTTGATTATTTATTTTATGGCTTCTCCTAATGCTGTTGGAAAACCTGCTTAACTGGTGAAAATGTATTGGTGGGTCAAGAAGCAGATTTAAGTGTCTGCGCTGCACATATATATATATTAAAAAAAAAAACTTGCTAAATCAAGTTTGTACCTACCTGACTGTATGCCTAGTGTTCCAGCTAGTCTCCACCTGAAACAAGGTGTAACTGAGTTACTGTAAAGTGTGAGGTGCAACCTGAGGCAGAGTCAGATGGACTGAACATAATGTCCCAGCAGTGTTCAAATTGGATTTATTGGATTTATGTAGCAAGTCAGTGGCATCAACACCTTCATCTTCCAAGAACTGCCTGCATGCTCTCGCCACATGAAGGTGAACATGTTCCAAGCATGTAGAGAGCTGTGTGCGTGTGTGTGTGGGTGTGTGTGTGCGTGTGTGTGTGCATACGTGTGTGTGTGTGTGCGTGTGTGTGTTCCTGCATGGATATGCCTCCCCCGATTGTGACTCACTCACCACCAAATCGGTCATGGATGATGATTCAGGCAGCATAATGATCTCCGTCACTGCGCCAGACCCTTTCACATTAGTTACATGTGAGCTGGGTAAACTTGCTCTCAACTTTGAAAAAGGCCGGACATAAGTAGGGGAGCTGCTAATTCTGGTTTTCCATTGTAAATACGAATCCGGTTCCACTGTGTTGAGCAGGAACCTGTTTTTTTGAGTGTTGGGTCAGACATCCAGGACTGCTGGATGGAGGTCGTTTTGCAGGGCTGTGACAGCGCTCTACCGCTGGGAAACACAGCAAACCTCCTGGCAATGGAAACAGTTTTTTGTGAAATCCTGGAAGACCTGTGCGACTTTTGTTTAGTCTGTGTGTTGCTTCAGGCCATCGGTGGTGACAATGACCAAAGCTAAATGTAAAACTAGGGGGCAAAAAATGTCAGCGGCCTCCACCATACCTTATTAGGGAATGGTGGAGGGAATGGTCTCACTCTTTCCCCTGAAAAGGGAGGCGATAGTTAAAAAGTTTGAGAGTCACTGATGTAAGTTTTATTTCTAAAGT